AGAGAGAGAGAAAGAGAGAGAGAGAGAGAGAGAGAGAGAGAGAGAGAGAGAGAGAGAGAGAGAGAGGCGATGGTGGCCCGCGGAGAACCCTACAGCGGGACGTCCGCAGGCGACGGTCCTTCGCGCGTCGATGCAAGGTGGTCGCCCGCGAAGGCGGTCGTCCGGTCACCCAGCATCCACCGGTGACTGCAGAGCACCGACCGGCCCATCTGAAACGCACCAACCCATAACTGGTAGGACCCGGTAGTGTTTCCACAATGCGCCCGCTGTCCAGGAACGACCATGGGCCCGACAATGTTCGAGCAGGACCGAAAAAAAAAAAAAAAAAAATCGTTTTCTTTTCGTGTCTGGGAATCGATGCCGAGCCTCTTGGGACTCCCGATAACTTCGGGAACTGGCAAAACATCGTAATTTCCCAACACTGGCGGCGGTACTAGGGGTTTAAGAAAAAATGAAAGAAAATTCCCACACAAAGGCACTAGAACAAGCAAAAATGGTTGAAAAGCTACTGTTTGAAAAATTTCGAGCGCCTGGTTTTGCTCATTTACAAGGGCTTGATTTTATGTCGAAACATCACACGCTCGCAGATGTGGTTACTATCATAGGTACTCAGGATATTGTGTTCAGAGAAGTAGATAGGTAACACTTCGTGTCATATAATAAGCTCTCGATCAAAAACACACTTGAACAAATGACTGCGGTATTTTTAACTACTCCTTTGCGGCTCTCCTGGCGGGCCTGAGTAGTATTATACACTTACTAGATGATCCGTTGCGGCTTCGCCCGCAAAAACAGAAAACTAAAAAGCACAAAAGAAAGAAAAAGCATAAGGAACTGCCCTATCATATGCCGCTTCTTTCACAAAAACAAAAAGAAGAGCCTGAGAGCAGACAGAAATCCGCGTGCAAGAAATAAGAGGGAATACCACCGAATTTTTTTTGTTTCTTTATCTGTGAGTGTTTTGTTTGGGAAGCCGCTACCTTTGCAGCATCGTTTTTTTTTTGGTATGCAAGAACTGTGAACTTTTATGAGAAAATCCTGTCCGTTGTCCCGTTCATGTTTTTGCTAAAGATTCCGATTCAGACTTTTGTTTGCTATTTTCTCTGAATATGTTTGTGATAAAGCGATCTTGCATGTATGCCCCGTGCTTACTTGCCGAGTTTGGACTCTATGTGTGCAAGTCCATGCGCGTGTGGGTGAGTCTCAGTTTGGTCGGCTCCAAAACTCTATGTGTGCAAGTGCATGCGCGTGTGGGTGAGTCAGTTTGGTGGGCTCCGATGATGTCATTGATGATTGGCCCGGGCAAGTTGTTGGAAGTCGCCTCCAACTACAGGAGTGCCACTGATGTGAAGCACGTTTTGCATTGTATGAATGAAACAATCAGGATTCAATCTGCTTGGCAGTTGCTCTTCGCGTAGGGGACTTGTCGGGGGTAGCATTGACATGGGAGCCATAATGCCGGGCGTTCATTTTGCAACATTTCCTGGAAGGCAAAAGGCAAAGAAGAAACGAAGTAGCACGTGGGCCCCCTTCTCTCTCTCTCTCTCTCTCTCTCTCTCTCTCTCTCTCTCTCTCTCTCTCTCTCTCTCTCTCT